ACAGGGTCATTTCTGTTCTCAGAAGTACTGATGTGTTTTAAGAAAAAAGCTGATACCTTGCATTCTGTTCAGCTTGATGTAAATGTCATTGATCTTGGCAAGTTTTATTGGGGAAGATAGGGAAGTTGTACTGGTTTTGTAACGAGTGTTTCACTGATAAGGACATTTAAATCAAGTAGTGGTCTTGAGAGGCTTCTCTTCTTCATTCTGCTTATTTTTGTTTTGTTTTTGGTTACTTTTATGTTTTTGGTTACTTTAATATTTTTTTCTAGAAAGTCTGTACAACAGAGGCACTAAACACAACGTTAATTCACAAAATATCCAGCTAAATATTCTGAATGGTAGCGTTAAGAAAGAAAATGAAGGATTGTTGTTTCAAGCTGTGAATTACTTTTTTAAAATAACCATTGGTAAGGTTTGACTACAAATGTGCCAGTTTTCAACAGCTGCAGACTAGACTGCCTAACATCTTCCTGAGAACAAGTATGGTGTACTTGAGACTCAGTATTGTGCTGCTTTTCTTTAAATGAGTATATAGACTCCAGGGCAGACCTGCTAGTCCTGAGACTTGAAAACTGAGGGTTAGTGACAAAGAACTACTGTAACTTCCCTAGTTCCAGAGAGGTAGTTAGGGAAAAGGACCACGTAACAAAAAACCAGCATGTAATACCTCAAGTTGTATTAAATTAGAGATTTTAATGTTCACTGAGATCTTTAAGACTGATAATACACCAAAACTCAAACATGTACTTTGCAGAGGAAAGAGAGGAATGTTTAAAGTATTGAAATCGTCTTTATCTCTTTTTGAAGACATATTATTGCTTTTGAAAGCAGCAATGCTGCTTTCAGAAGGGACATTTCTGTAAGGCAGAGACCTACAGCTATAAAGAGGTGTTATTGCTGTCCCTCAGTTCCTGCACATGCTCTCCAGAGCTTACATTACTGGTGAAAGTTAATTATGTTGTGAGATTCTCTGAACTACTGCCCACTCCTAAACTGGCTCTACCATATTGCAATTGTTAATAAGCATATTTTAAATATGCACTTAGAAAAACAGAGCTGTATGTAAGAGCTGCCCTGTGATTAGGGCTTGGTTTCTTCCCAAACATAATAGTCAAAGCAACAGTGCAGAAGAAAATTATTGAAGGCTTTATAGTTTGTGACTGTGTAGGCAAGTGGATGAATAGAAACATGTAACCTGATAAGAAAAACTAAATTACTGTATCAAAAACTTGTACTGAAGGTAACTTCCAAGTACATCTTTGGATCATCAAGCAAAGCCTGCACAAATGTAAGCAGAACTAAAAGAACTTCAGTGAAGTAAAAGCATAACAAGTGGAAGCCAGAGTTCTCTTGCACTAAGGCCATTTGTCTGTGATCCTAAAAGGCAGTTTTGTCCTTTTCAGTTCTGTTAAATGAAGATAGCTGGCTTTCAAGAACACGTCTCCTAAAGACAGACTTGACCTTTTCTTCAAACTATTGCTTTGTTTACTGTAACAGAAATTATGAGATCTTGAAAATGCTATGCTTTTCAGACAGCTGTCATACACCATAGTTAATATTGCAGTTAGAAAGTAATGATATGAAACTTACCCTCAACAAAAATGTATCAGGTTTTAAGGTTTATTTCAGAAATGCTGATATACACGGTATTAATTACAGTCCTTTTTTAAAAGTTATGTTAATGGAGTTGTTTTGAGTTTTAATATAATGACAAAATTATAGATATGAAGATATCTGAATGCTGTAAGAATTCTTCTTGTCACGTTGCCATCCAGGTCACAGTATTTCAGTCTTATTTCTGGCCAAGCTGGGACAGCTGCACGTGAAGAGACAAAAAACAGGTTGGTAACTTTATTCTTTCAGTGCAACGGATATCCAGTTCATACAGTAAACATTTGTCTGATAACCTCTGGTAATTTCTTATATCCAAAAGCATGCTAGTAACAGAATATTTAATGTGCACCTTCACAGGAGAGGATCTGGGTTTCATATCATATGATATAATTAAATTTCAGTGTTAAAGGAATAGTACATACAGTCGGTCTTGAAAGAACAAAGAAACTAATAAGCTGACTGAAGAGCTATAACCTGATAGTACTGTTTGTTTCGTTTCCTTTGAGTGCAACAAGAATGAATATATCTCTTCAAAATGTAGGTCTGAATAACAATTTATTCTCTTGTTGGGAAAAAGTAAAACTATAGGTAGCAGTTGGGTAGAAGTAAAACCATACTGATAGGCTATTATTGCTGATCGCTGTGAATAATATGTTTTTCATTTATATTGGAAAGAGCGAGAGAAGTAATGGCAATTATAAGTTTATTAACAGCTTTAAAAAGACTGATTTTAATATAGGTGTGAGCAACCTGAAGTTCCCCTTATGCCAGTACTCATAAATTTATAACAAAATTTAGGACAAAAGTTTCAAGATCATAGTTGAGTAGCAACCTTAAGCTGTAAGGGTTGCTAGAGTAGCCTGGGAAGACATGCTATTTGTGGAAAGTATCAAGAACAGGTTTTTTGGTTTTTGTTTTTTTTTTTTCCCTGTTAGGATTTATGCTAAGGCAATTATTATGAGTTCAATTGCATTACTTGTGAACTCACATGGACAATACAGGCCAAAAAGTTAAACAAAATTAACGATGACTCCAACCCCCATACTACAAACCGGTGAAAACAGTAATAAGTACATTAATTTGTCACAGCAATTTGTTTTTGTATTAAAAAAACATACCATTGAGAGCTATAAATTTAAAAAAAATAAAGGTTATGGAAATAATACTTATTACTGTAAGCAGTGTTATGATAGTGTTGCTGTCAAAGGTACCTACCTGCTTTATAAATTGTGTAGCATTAAAAAGTTCACTGCAGCCATAGAGGACATGTTTGCCTTGTTTACCCTAATAAAAAGAAAAGTCAGGAAGAAATTGAGTGTTCAACAGAGCAGCAGAAGTGGCTTTAACTAAGTGCATACCAAAAACTTATTTCTTGATGATTTTTAAGTCCTACACTTTTTGTCAAAAAAAAAAAAAAAAGGTTTAGTTGGTCCACCACAGGAAAAAATAATAATTAAATTGAAGTGGAAAAGAAGAGTTGAGGCCTAAAGATATGGATAAATGTGGCATTATACACTTTTCAGCTCATCAGAATGTTAAGTTCTTCGATGCATCTATGAATGGCTTGGGGAAAGTAATAACCTTATCTGAAAGGTCCCCCTTGCTGCTGCCTCCAACAAAAAAAGAACAACCCCTATCCCCTAGAACAACTGGGCATTGCTGTAAGAATAGTAACAGCGTATTTCTGTTGTATTACAGCCAGGAAGCTTCTGTCATTTGTTTCCCTATGATGACGTTTGAAGCAGATTTTTTTTTTTATTTGTGAAACGTTACCTTGAGCTCTGTTGGATACATAATAATCCTAGTTTGCAGTGAACAGTTTCATAGTATTTGTTTGATAATGCATCATTTTAGAAGTGAAAACCTGTATAAGTAATACAGTTTCAGACTGGATTTACTCCTGGTGGTGGGCTAATAATGCCATGGTTCCTTGAAGTTCAAGTATAGGCTTCAGAAATCTGTTTCACTGTTAAATCAACTTGAATTTTTCCCTATTAGTCAAATTTCTGCAATTTAAAAAACAGAAAACACCTTCCTGTTGGTATTTTCTGCTATATGTGGGTTATAAATATATAGTTATATATATAACTGTTTATATACTGCTTACATATAACAGTAAAAGTTATATATATGTATATAGTTAGGAGAATGGGCAAGACAAGAACAGCACAAGGAGGCTTATCTGCGTAAACTTACTTTTTACCGACAGGAAGTTAAAGCTTACTTATTAAAGAGCAAAATAGGAATGCAAGCCCTCACAAAACAATTTTGTTCCATATATGTTGCCACTCGTGCTGTTTCAGCAGAAAGTCACAGAAGCAGATTCTAACAGTCAGTAGCTGGTGGTCACATGCTAATAGGGGAGATGGTAATCCTGGTTCAAGTCCTCATCTTTATTAATTTTGAGTGGTTTGTGGTAATAAGCTATTCTTGTCTCTGAGCAGGAACTCAAGCTTACTTCTTCCCATGTTTCAGGCCAGTCTTTAATCGAGGCCTGAAGAGGTAAGGTTTTAATCTAAAACTGTTTTGACAGATATATTTTGACAGATCCAGTTTTCAGTAATATGAATGAATAGCATTTAAGGAAAAACAAAAATAAAACAAACTCAAACACTAGAAAGAATTGTGAAACAGGACTATTGCCTTTCAGGCAGCTCTAAAATACACATTGCTGTACAATTCCAGTCTTACATAAAATCACAGAATCAGTTAGGTTGGAAAAGACCTCTTAGATCATCTAGTCTAATGAGACAATAACGGTGACGCAGGCTTCCCCCTTGGGAGGTCATATCCTACTGATCAAGTACACAGTCTGACCAGGGAAACATCCAGCACACTTCAGCTCTAACAACTAATCATGAAGATCATGATCATCTCTGTCTACAGATTCCAGAACAACAGAAAACCTATGCCCGACCTCTCATTCTCCACAAGATCTAACATTACTGTCATTCCTGAAACTTTCAGTTCCATCTGTTCTCTCCCTCCGCTTACCCTATCACTTCCTGCTTGCCCACTTACTCCGCAGAAACTTCAGATTCTTGCCTCTTCCATATGAAAAAGTGGGTATTTAGCTTGCCATCCTGTAAAAGTTCTGTATATAGATACGTATATGCATACACAGCTAACCTCAGCTATGTCAGTATGCAGCTAGGTATCTAAGCAGTATATTAGTCTCTGGCAAAATCAGGTTTATTTTAGTAGGAGTAACAAATACACATGTTGATGGCCATCTTTTGAATTGATAAGGCACCTGAAAAAGCTTTGGGTAAACTAAGGAGCAAGCAAAAAGTTTGACAATGCACTCTGCTACAGTTAGAATGTTCTAAATAGTTTGCAGAATATTTTAAGCGCTAAGGTGAACCTAAACAATTTCTGTAACTTTCCTCCTCCTCTCCTTTCCCCTATTCAGACCAGCTATGTTCCAAAATGGCTACCCGAGGCGGAAAACAGAAGTTCTAACTCCCTGTTTTGTGTTATTTACTAGAACAGAAAATTATGAAGCGCTTGTTACATGAAAGAAGTATTTTTCAGTTACTAATATTTCATATTTATTCTTTTCTAGGAAAGCCTTCAATGTAATGCACCACAGGACAGGAAGATAGTAAAATCAGTTACCTCGCCCACATGGTACTATAAGGTAAAATCAGGCAGGAAGAATGGTATGCTGCTGCTCTTAAGTAACATATTTCCTAATTCTAAATTTTATCAAGGTAAGCACTTGCATCTAATTCCTGCCCCTGCAAGAATTCTAATGATTTGGTTACTTTTCTCCCTCCATTGTTTTTTTGGTGTGTGTGTTCTGTTAGGCTGGCAAGCTTGAACCAGAGATGTTAAATCCCTTACACCACCATTACATAGTTGGTTACACATTTTCTTTTGTGCATTTGATAACTCTTATCATATCTACACACAATCAAATGATCCATCATTTCAAGAATGAGTTGCCTTTAACTCATCAAAAACTTCCAAATGTAGGTAAGTAGTAAATGCTGAGATACTGATGTGTAGATTTTGTCCCGAGGAGTTGTGGATGCCCCATCCTTGGAAGTGTTTAAGGTCAGGTTGGATGGGGCTTTGAACAACTTGGTCTGGTGGGAGGTGCCCTTGCAGGAGGGCTGGAATTAAGTGACATTCAAGGTCCCTTCCAACCCAAACCATTCCATGATGTCAACATGATCTTTGCTTTGACAGCATATCCTCTGCATTCAGAAGTGCAGCATTAACAAAAATACCAGAACCAACTGTTCTTCTGAATTAATAATCCTCATTTTCTACCAATTTCTCAGATACATTTTTTTCCTCTAGATGGTATATATAATATTAATGTAAAAGCTAATTTTGTAAGATTTAATCTTCCAAATATTAAATGTTAGAGAGCTTGCTCAAATTGTTTTCTATCTGTAAGTTAGATTAAGTAAGTTAATCACAACCAAAAGAAGCGTACGTACCTTTATGTAGTCAATAAGATTTTGATATTCAATGTAGTTGCCTCCTCCAACTACAAACACTATTGCCTAAAATGCAACACACACAATCAGAATATGCAGTCAAATTCTTAACATTTCAGTAGTAAACTATATACCAAATCACTAAACATGTAGCAAGTCATCTCAATCACACTTAGACTAAGAACTGCATAAAAATTCACTAGCTCTCTACTTGAAATAATAGTTTCACTAGGATGCAGAATAGCAAGCAGAATGATTTTAACATGTCACTTTATTCTAAGATGTCATTTCATTTCTAAGAAATATTTGAAACTTACATAGTTTCAAGATACTACATTTTTCTGTGGAGATGTCTCTGGTGTCCATAAAAACAGTTAAAGTATTTTCATGGATTCTTAAGAACTAATTTGTGAAACGAATAAAATACTTTTGTTATGAAGAAACACGTTTTCATTGTCCTTCCCTTTCCCGCTTGCTACTAGTAATAATAACATTAAGGGCCATTGGTATTTCCTGGGCTGTGTTTAAAAGCAGAACAATTAATGAACAGAATATGGAGACTTAATAGTTGCATGTTTTTTGTTAACGTTCATTCTGTAAAACTGTTTGACCATATGAATTTTGGGTAGTTTCTATGTTACTACTGTCATTTTTGCTATGACCATCTATACGACACCATGAGGTATCATTACTTCTGCTCAAGAGGATAATTCAGACATTTCAAGAGAAATCAGAGACATCTGTCTATTGCCACGGCAAAAAATTTTGCCAATGAAACTTGGTAATAAGTTACCTTGGTAATGAATAGATAAGGCTGTTTCTATTTGCAAACATTTACGTTGAAAAAGACTAAAAGTTACAGGCATTTGTGTACCATGAAAATGGAGGAACTGCTAACACTGTTTTTTTTTCCTTAAATTATAGGGACTGTTCAAAATACTGACACGTAAGTCAGTGGTCAACATTACTGTTCAAGACTGTAGAAGTTTAAATTCAAAGAACATGCTAAAGCTCTGACATAAAAATAGGGGTGTTCATTTACTGAGTACCCAATTATGGTGTTATTAAATTACTCTAATTATCTCAAGAAGCATTTTCTTATTTTTTTTTACCCTCCACTGTTAGTCTTATTACGTCTAGTATTAATTGCAATTAGATGGTAGGCTGAAGTCTTTTCAAAGGACTGTGTAAGCACTAAGTGTTTCTTGCAAACAGGACCTCTCATTTTCTTAATCATAATAAATGACTGATAATTTAGAATTTATTTTTTTTTAATACCTGAACACCAAAAAGTAATTTCTACATGACTTACCTCCTGGAATGGATTTTTGTTTCTTGGAACTGAGCTATTGTAAAAAAGTATATCTTATTAGATATTGATTGAAATATGCAAAATATAAGTATTTTAGATCATGTACAAGGTTATGAAATACTAAATAATATTAGACAAGAATTTAAATGGCCTTTCTGCATTCAACTGAAGTATTTTATTTAAGCAATTTGTTTTGAAAAGTCATCATCCATTCTACAGAAACAAACAAATAAATGGAAGTTTCCTTCCTCAGTTTTAAGGCTACTGTTTGAATCATGAGCTTTATGACAACACTTCTTTTTGAGCTTTTAAGCTCAAATTCTACTGCTGGTAGCTAGAAGCACAAATATAATGATATACAAATTAAAAAAAATCTTCATTAGTATTGTTTATGACACAAACCCTGCCTCCTGGAATAACCTCCTGGTTAACTTGGTAAGTCAGTTTGTGATGCCTGCGGATACTCCTATTGATGCTTCAAAATTTCAGAAATGACTACAGGCAGCAGGTATGTATCACAGCTACATCATTACAATTAAGAGGTTTTAAGGAGGAAGTTACGGTTAGGGTGGTAGGGAAAATCCTCCAAAAAATGTTACAGAAGCAGAATGAAACAAAGTTGCAATTAAAATGAAAGAAAATACACATTTTTATTTGATGCCTTCAAAATCTACTTACCTTTGAAGTTACACAGGCTGTAATAATACTTTCAAATAAAACATAGATAATTCTCTGAAATCTGCTTCCTCCTACTTATTCTACTGGAAATACAGTTTGCATGATTCAAGAACAGAGGAAGTCAGGACAAATAAAATTCTTATTTAATGCAAATGACTAAAACCAGGTCCGGATCTACTTTATCCATATTCATCCAGTAATAAACCCCCACAATTAAATCAGCTTATTGTTTTCTCATATTGTGATGAAAATTAGTTTTAGAAGCTATGTTAAAATTAAGAATCATCTCCATGTCTTTTTTGCAGTGTTACACAGATTTATCTGGTTGATTCAGTTTCCGGTTGTGAATTCCTTCAATATCAACTGTGTTGTCTTAGAATGAATAATTAGAGGTATTATATAGTCATCAAGGAAAATAAGAATTTTTTTAAGTTAGCCTTTTCATGGCATAGAAGGAAACAAGCAAAACTCACAGTAAACTTACCTGTCACTGCCTCGTAGCATCTTGGGATCAAAATATCGGTAGTCATCTGTCTCCTATTAAAAAGCATATTTTAGTTTCAAAAAAAAAAAAAAAAGGCTTATGTATTTCTGTACATTACATTAAGTATCATTTAAACCAATGTAATTTCCCAATTTAGCAGATACCATTGTTCAAAATTAATTGTGATGTCCACATATACTTTACTTACATACTTGTACATAACTGAACCAGTACAGAAAAACAAGAGAGAATTATGAACTGCATCTGATTCATCTACAATTGACTATTACACACTTTCCAAAAAATACATCAGTTGCATAACAAACAGAAAGGCAACATGCAGAAAAAAAATATTAAGGTGTCACCAGCTTCAGAGGACCATCATGCGGTTATAAATGTTCAAATTTTCCAGAGAACAGTTAGTGATTTAATACTATAAACCAAAACACTTCTATGGCAATGAATGCTAAGTACAAGATAGATCAAAATCTGCTACTGTTATGAAACTTACCATTTCATTTCATGATTTATGACTACTATTAAACCAAAATTAAGCTTGTGAAGAAATGAGTTCCACAAGAATTTGAAAAGTCTGTCTAAACTATATATTTTTTTTCCTTCATGCAGAACACTGCAATATTTTTATTGGCAACAAGCAGGATTTTTGCCAACTCTTAACAGAAGAAAAACAAAGCTTCTTAATAACTGCTTCTGACAACTGTGTGGCTTGCATCTGTTCCTATACTACGTTTTTCATCCAGGTACTGTGATGTTTAATTTATGGATAAATTGCATGCAGGACTAAAGTGGTTTTCATTTGGGTGCTTACATGCAAGATCTGTGTTTTGATGATTCTATAGAATAGAAATCTCCAGTAGTAGACAAGTTATCTGGGGAATTCACTAGAGCTCACACAGCGTAACTATCTCTAATGTTACAAAATATTTAGTATACATGTGGTAGTATGGTATTTGGTACACACAAAGAAAATCTATTTGAGATTAAGGACCTCTGCAAATACATAAAATAAGTCTCTTATCCTCAAGTTTGTCTTTTAAAAAAACTTAAGATCTAATTTCACACTGAATCTCTGTAAAATGCTTTTAAACACTCCACTGGGAATTTTAGCAGAATTTGCACTCTGTCAGCATTCATGATTTTGGCAGCCTGTTTTATAAAGGTGGTATAGCAACTCTGAAGTAATGAGCAAACTAGGATCACAGAGATACTACCAGACTGAAACAGAGATGTAAACAGAAACCTTTTACTTAAAAATAATTATCATCCGAGGCTGCAGGAAAATAGAAATTTTCTGCTTTAAGCGATGTCTATTCTGCCAACACAGACAATTATATAGAGATGTCCTTACACAGCTGATATTTATTCAGGAATAAATTTCAGGCTATTTAAATTGATTTTCAAGCTTTCAAATTAAAATGGAGAAAGACCCATGGAAATACCCTTGCAGCTCAGGCTGTACTTGGTTTTCTGCTGAAGCTAATATGATCAGTTTGAATTAAGGAAGTCCCCCAGTTTTAGAACTTTCTTGTTCTAATGCATGAAAAGTAAACATACGCTATATCCCTAAGCCTAGAAGTTCATACTCACTGAAAGAGATGACATTAACAAAAATACAGTCCCTTTCGTATATATCATAAGTAAGTCAATACAAATGTACATACGGTATTGATTGACTAAATTCTTTCTGTGACTTTGTGATAATAGTATTAAAAGTTTGTACATCAAATATTGTCTGTACTCAAGATTCAAACCATTTTATGTAAATTGTTCAATTTACTATGTATGGATGAAAATTCGACTATATGTTTTGCATGTATGTTCAGAAAATTTAAGGTTAGGTATCACTAAATAGAGATTAAAAACCAGACAACTATGTTACTAGATTTATAAATAGAACATTGCTTTATGAATCATAATTTCAAAAGCAATTAATAAAAACCTGCTTTGATCAATGTCATTATTTTAAAAACAACAGTAACAAAGACCACACTGATTACTTTAAGGTCATCATGTTTCAGGACAAATATTGCAAGAGAAAGTCCAGCTGTAGTTAAACAGTCTAGACAAAAATCACAGGATGGTATTACTGCCCCTATGAACTGCTCTATCTGTTCCTGCTCTGAGGAACTTGGAAAGCACAGGTGTAGACATTTGTCCTTCCTAGTAAATGGCCTTGTGAGACTAAACAAGCACTAGGGACAATCAACATAAAGATCGATTTAAAGACAACTGCAGACAATTTTTACACAGCACGAGCATACCATTCAGAATAGATTCAAAATTTTAACTGACAGCATTTGTGAATGTTACAGCATTAAATGTGGTGTAAGCTGCACATTTAATGAATATAGTTTGTTGCATTTTATATTGGGAATATAATTTAAATTATTTGCATTCAATGTAACTGCTTGATTTCTGAATATTCTGTCTTGCATAAAACTTTCATCTGTGTGTCCGTTTAACTTGATTGCTGTGGTTGGCCAGTAAGGTTCAATGAACTATAAAGGAGATAATGTAAAAAGATATTTTTTTTTCCTGTGTCATGTCCCCTCCCTTTCTTTTTGCCAGCAGGGCAATAGTTTTCTATTCTGGGGGTGGAAAAGGACCTCAAACATCAGAAGATGAGCAGAGGCCACAGTGCTGTCTCTCTACATGCAGCCTTTTTACAGGTACAATTTCATTTTGGTTTATCCCACAGCAAGCCTAAACATTCCTTAATAACTCTCTGGCTTTCTTCTGTTAGTTTAAAGGGGGAACCTACTTATTGAGAAAGTTGCTGTCATTTTTCCTACACGTTAAGAGAATCTTTCTTTAGGGCTTGCCCGGTCCCCTGTGACTTGAAAAGTAGGACTCCCTGTTCTGGGTCACAAATTCTAGTCATTGACATGTTAGTGTAACATGAAGTCACAGACAGGCAGATAATCTCAATCCCTCCTTTTTCAAGTGAGAAGATCATCATTTTCTCTAATTTACCAAGGGGAAATGTGGCTGTTTTCTATAAATACAACGTGACAATATCAAGTCAGGAAAAATGACTTGTAAACTTTTCCAAATCAATTTCTAAATTTGGAACCCAAGAAAAGTAGTGTTTGTTTTGAAGTTTCTCAAAATAAACTGGTTTCCTGGTAAAAGTTTACTGGTAACCTTAGTTACCAGTAGTTTTTAATTTCAGATTACCATATTAAGTGTTCTGAGTGACCTCTACTGGTTGACTAGATAAAATTAGCCCTGCACATCTTTTCCAAGTCTTGCAAATAGGAACAACAATCAACTCTGCTGCTGAAAATAGCACAAATTTCTTGGTTAATTAACAGAAGACAATTTTTTTGCCTAACAATCTTGACATGTTATCTACAATGTACAGTTTAAAAAAAAAAAAAGACAATTACTTGCGTATTGATCATTTTCCTATTTTACTATGGTTTATCTCTCTTTACATATTGTTACTACCTGAAGCTGCAACTGGACTAAGAGAACTTCAAATCTGGTGAGTTTTGCTACTCACCAGGCATACCCACATTTCTGTCACAAACACTGCAGCACAGAATTAAAACCTACCATTAACCTCTTGGCACTGGCTAATTCACAAGAGGATGCACAGATGAGGGAATTGCTAACTAACATATTGGCATTCCATATTAAAGAGGTAAAGATGGGTCAGTGGATGTAAATGGCTGACCAGCTCTGAATAGCCAAAAAGTGTTAGCTAACTAGCAGAAATCTTTAAGCATCATCGTGAAAATCCATCTAGAATTGAAAAAATCCATGCATTTTTTATATTTTTTAAAACATTTGCAAAGCGTAATAGTGCAAAAATCAGATTTTTTGTTACTAACCCAGAACGTTCTAATGATGAAAACAAAGGGACCTTAACCTCTTTCTAGGTACACAAATAAACCAGGGTGAGCTACTACAATTTTCTCTCCGATTCTGATGTCTAAATATGTAGTAAATATGTAAATATAAACTAAATACATAGTAAAAAAAGACAGCTTTGACTGCAAACTACGCAGAAAAGATTTTGGGCTATTTTTAGCCAAACCTTGTAAATTCTAGCAAATATCTTGACTGTACACCAAGCACTTAAACATTTCAAAACTTCAGTAACTTAGGCAAGTCTCAGTACACTCTCACAGGAACAAGATGACTTTACTGACAACAAACAAACATCATTTCAAACTGAAAGACTACTGAAATTTTCTTCTAAATAACAAACCTTTAAAGATGTGGAAAACAAAATTTTCTGCAATAAGCCCATTTACAACTACTTGACTTTTGAACTTGTACTCTTAAATAATTACTTTGATTCAAAGAAAACTTCAGACCACAATTTAACTTTTAGAAATTCAGGAGCAACAGAAACTCAGTATAATACAACAGTAATAGAAGCTCAGAATAGAACTGCTCCCACAAAAAAGCAGTTCCACTGAGACACAATAAATTGTCATGACTTAGAACCTACCTTTATGCCGAAAAATCTTATGAAATAGTTATGAAAATGGTTCTATTACTGAGATACACTGTGACTAGATTTAACTCTATTATCACAAACAAAACATAGCTCTGGCATATTACGTATCACAGCATAAAGATTTCATTTGTTCCATCTCTTTCTGTGTGAAGGCAATTATACTCACAGGGTTTGACTTCATCTCCATAAGGTTGTCCAATATACGTGTGACTGGTAGATTCTGTTAAACAAAATGTGAAATTAATATAATGCTGGAGATAACTAGGAATTATTCACAAATACACCATTATTTATGGACCAGGAAACTCAACTGACAGCTACACTTGCCTGGAATGCCCTAAGAAAGGATTTAACTTACTGTAATGCAAAATAATATCCTTGAATCGTGTTGGCAAACATTATTTCTATTGCTCATTTTAATTCTATTTCAATAGCAATATAGTACTTCCAAATCTAAGAAAATTTACTTTTCTTTTTACAGTTTTGGAAAATTGCACTTTTTATGGTAGTCACTCATCTACTGCTTCAGTCTTTTTATTATAGCAAATAGAAAGCCTTCACAGGAAATATTTTCTGTTCTCCCACAGTGAAGCTGATCCACCTTCAAGCCTAACCCCAGTGCCAAAGTCTTTAGCGGGAGCTAAGTTTTAGGTTGCTGTCTGTTACTTATGTGGAAAATTGGAAATGTTTCAATTGTAACTGAAGGGAGAATGAATGCTTTGAGCCTTTCGATCATCCTGGAACAGCTGCATTTAATACATGATGTTCTAAGCAAAGGTGCAGAGGACTTTTCATGTTCATGAAGGTCTAGTCTATTTTAAATATTTCACAGCTGCTCTTTTTTTTATTGCTGAAATGAGTCTTAAAGGCACATACTGAAACCTAACTCCTTACAAATGGAGGCATTCAAAGACAATGTAAACATTATTCATTACTTACCAAAAAAATAAAAACCACAAAGTGCGAGACACATCCAACACCAGAGGTCGATGGCATTGTTTACTGTACAACTAACTTTATTAGTATGACAGAGGTAAAGAAAGGTGTTTTTCTAAATGTTCACAATGCTTACTTGATAGGCTAATTTTATTGTTATTATTTATATTGGTCTTTAAACTTACTTGTTGCTTCAGTACCAAGTTCTTCACACCTTCCATCACAAACTGTGATCCCGTATTCATAACACGTGAAAACAGACTGAAAAACAAAATAAAGATGATATGTAAGATTTATTTTTTTTAATTTGCATTCTCTAGCTTGATATAGCTTATGCATTAAATTTCCATTAAAGCTGATGCAATTTAGGTACTAATTCATTCAATTTTTTCACACCACATGGCAACCACCTGTATGGGAATATATACCTGTCATCTAACAACTAGATCTCAGCTATTAGTAGAAGTCTTGTGTTCTCTACTCTGCTCCACTAAACAGTTTTAAAAATAAACTTCAGTAGTGTAAGGATTTGAGTGTTGTGTTTGTTTTTTTTTTTTCAAGTGAGTGTCTTAATCACAAGAGTTAGCAGAAATGCTCAGTGTATTTCCCACCTACCAAACAGTAATTTTTCCAAGTGAGACAGCATCAGCATTCTCTCTAAACACGCTGTGACAGTCTCCTTATGACAGTCACAGCGCATTTCTGAAAGTACTGCTAATAATGAGGATGCTGTATGGGATAATAAATAACTGCACCTTTGACTGATCTGACAAGACAACCTGTCCAGGAGATCCTAAAGAAAAAGAAGCACATTCTTTCATCCCAGACAGTCTTCAAGCCCTGGAGAGAACTCATTTTGAATGCACAGGGCTGTTCTTATCTTCTGCCATTGATTAAATAAGGCTCAACATAATGGCTGTCTTAGCTTCATTTCAATATGCTGAATTCTTCTCCTATAAGAACCTGTATATTTAACATGCAGGCATACAAGTATCACTATGTTAAGTTGCTTTCTGGATTTAGCCATATCCTGTGCACTGTTAAGAGGAGATAAGTAATTCTGTAATTGTGTCTAAATATTTATTTATTTACAAATAGAGAAATATTTCATTCTGAGCCATGTACAGAACTAATTACACTTTTCGTACTACTGAAATAAGCTAAAAGAACCCAAAGACTTACAAAAAACTAATCAAAAGCATACCCCAAAGGTTTTGGCGTAGTGTTTCCATAGCTGGTTGGAGCCGAAGCCATCTTGGTGAAAGCCCTGTGAAAGCAGGGGTAGAGATCAAATGCTTCGTCTCATGGCATATCCTGCTGCAGAATGTTCCACTCTGGTCATTTGAAAGTGAAAATACTTTTGCTTCTCAAACTGTTTCAGAAAGTAACTGTTTATTACATGCATCCTTTTTGTCTAGAGCTACAGTGGTTAAAGAACTGAAAGGAATTCGATTTTATATTTAAAATACAGAGAATTTATTTTTATAACATCTGTAACTACAGCAACTGATAGGCAGCATGGCCATCTGGTAACATATCACTAAATCTGGAGTCTGAACTAGCCCAACTTTTCACTGATTTCAGTGCATTGTTTCTGGGTTAGATAATTTAGGACACCGATATGTGTCACGTTCAGCAGAGTTCTAGCATTCAGAGTTCAATTGTAAAATAAGATTTTGCATGTATTACCATAACAATGACAGCAAAACATTATGCCAGAACAAATGTTTAAGGATAATTTACAATGTATAAGACGTAATACATAATTCTTTGATACCAACGCTGTATTCTGTAAAATTACCCAATTACATAGGAGAAAAATGAAGTTACTTACTTCCACTGTTTTATGTAATTCAAAGGAGCAAGATTGCAACCTGCATCTGTTAATGCTTTTTTATACTGCTCCAGATCAATCTGAAATTACAAAGTGGAGAAGTGCAACAGATTTATACTACTCTTAACTCCCTCCATGTGGAATACAAGATATCCTTACCTAAATATACATGTAAAGCTATAGCATTGACAACCAAAGTTAAAAAACAATTATAAAATTCCATCCTCTTCCAAATATGAAAATACACCTTAAAATGCAATTTGCTATGATTGCTATTTTATTTGATGCTATTTTGCTATTTTCATTTTTACTAAATTTAACTGTATTTGTGGAATTAAACCAGTCCACTCTAAGCTAAGAGAACAGTCTGTTATATCAGCATCTTTCAAAAACCTGACAGAATTCTCGTTTCCATAAAATGGAACAACAGTGACTAATAACAATGAAGAGAAGTTTACACAGAAGTTCTTGTACATTTATAAGAATAGTTTCTTTGCCTAATCTTTTTTTTTTTCCAGATAGAGCCAGTACAGCAGTTCACCATAAAATGATTTGTTATCTATATTAATTCCTTATTACATATTTCTACAATACAATAAAAAACTTCATCATAAGCTCAAAAGAACTATTAAAAAATTGCCACCTGAATTAGTCAGATATTGACATAAAAACAGTTCTATGTTATGTATCTGCTAGTCAACAAACCAAATTAATTTTGAATATACAAGGATAGGGTGAAAAGAGTCGTTAACTTTTTTTTTTAATCTACTTATATTGGGCAGTAGAGCAGAATGATGAAAATTGTGCCAAGATGGGTCTTGTAGGGACAATTGACTAAATGTTTCAAAAGATTATCTTCCTTCTCACTAGCCATTCATATCCTTTGCAATAGTAGCTAATGCTTTGTGAACAGATTACCTGGTAACACTACCCAATGTACTTAAAGTTGTAATATTGATCTGGGCATTTCATACTTCTCTTCAAAGAGAAGCAGAAATACCTATTTAACGCTGAGACAAAACAGAAAGATCCTGATTGGTAAGATTTAATAAAGGACATACCTCTGAAGGTGCCTGAGTTGAGCTTATGTAATAGATAAGAAATAGACGCATTTTGTCTTCTGGAGTTCCCGCTGCAGTGAAATAAATTAAAAAAAAAATCGTTACTATGCTATGTTAATTGCCCTTCAGTAATAACAGATCTGTACATTCAAGCCTTTAGTTATGACGGTACTTGTTACTTCTAAGCATGCCCCTGTTTGGCATATACAGCAGTAAAAGATATTTGGTGATTTTATTAAAAATTGGGTTAGACTGGCTCACTGTTTCTGAGTTACACTTGCCAAGCTTGCTTGTAACAAATACTGTTCTTCAAGTAACATACAACTAAGTTACCTAGTGACATTATGCCTTGTTTTATA